TAAAGAACAGTCAGAAATGGTCATTTGTGAGATGTTTTTTCTGCCTTCTGATGGACAGATTGAAGGTTGCTCAGTTACCTCTTTCTGTTGTTAAGCAAAGCTAAAAAAAGATTTGCTCTTTGACTATCACTAAATGCCCAAACGCTTGTGAAAGGCAGACCCGAATTCAGTTCCTGCTCTTCCTGTGATGCTCCACACAGTGATGCTCTGAAGCATAGGATTGCAATGCATTTGTCAAGGGACCCAGCCTTGTTAAAAAGTAGGAATAGAAACATTTTCTTTTTACCTTTCTCTTTCGAGCCCATCATTGTTGTATGAAATTCAGTATTTCAGTGTTTGTCCAATTTGAATATTTAAGTTTAGCTTGTGACATGCTATTAGCTGCTTGAGCTTTTGGTGTCACTTGAGAAAAGGGAAATCATAAATGTACAAAAACTGATAAAAGAAATATTAGGTATGTCTTAAAATGTTTTATTTTTTTAATTACTATTATTTTTCAGTCTTATATTAGTTTATTTCATTTCACCCACTTTACAACTTGGATATTAAAACAATACAAGCAGTATAGACCTAATATATTTATCACCATGATATCAAAGGTCAGAACAAGCATTACATAAAAGATAGTCATTAACAGATAAGCTCTGTTAAAATCTGTGTTTCTTCACATATAGAGATATCAGAAATAGAACTCCTGGAAATCTTAAACAGTATTAGCTGCCCAAAAAGTAGAGTTGTCTAGGTTCATAAGTCAATGGAAAAAAGTAAGAATCTTTAGATGGGAATTTTTGATCCCTGAAATCTGCACCAAAATATTGGAAGACATTACTCTGTGTGCTATGCCATCTATTGGAAAAAAAAAAAAATCTAAAATTATTCTGTACATTTATCTGGATTATAAGAAAATGTGTACAATAAAGCTTCCATTATGACAGATTCAGTAAAGTTCTGTCCCTAAAGGAGGAATCAAGAAAACCATAAGTCCTGTCAATTAAATTCCCATCTAAAATGTTGATTTTTCTGGGCTTTCAAGGGCTTATCTACTGTTAGAGCATCTCAATCTAAGTTAAATGTTAAATCTAAGTTAATGTAAGTCTAAGTTAAAAAGACAAGATAGACATGTAATCTTATATATGGGGTTTTTTCAAATAAATGCTAAATGAGAATCCTGGGTGATTCACTGCATCTTTAGCAAGTTCATAAATGCTTTAATGTGGTGAGCACAGACAAGGCTAAACTTGTTGAGAGGGAGATTAGGTCATCTTATTTCCCTAAGAACATTTCCCTTAAAAAAGGCATCTCTGCATGATATTTTTTCAAACATTTTGGGGACAATTTAATGATCTCATTATACTCAAAGTAAAGGCTCTTTAAAGATCAGCATAACTTCTGGTTTTGATATTTGCTTCCTTTGGGGTTTTATTTTTCCCTTGTAGTGCTGGTAACCTTCCCTTTCTAGGTGGATAAGTACTTCCTCTAGGTTTCTACCCCTCACGCTGGGAAAACTTAGATCTCTATAGCTAGACATTTTTGTTAAAGATCTTCAGTGTGTTTACAAGCAATTAGTTAATGAGAACTTACAGTTAATGATGCTTCAGGCAGAATGATATCTATCTTTTAATTTCAGCACATTCTTTCCTCATCAGTTTTAGCAGTTTCAAAAAATTTTTAAAACTGCTTTCTCTAGTCCAGAATTTTTGGCTTCAGAATGGGTAATGACCCTTCTCCCCTTCTATCCATGGATATGAAGATTTCAATGATTATTTTTATTATCTCTGTAAGAGTTTTAAAAATCCCTAATCAAATTTATGCTCCTGTTGCTCTAAATCTACCATATAGAAAGAAAAATCATCCTTTTAAGAATCAAATTCCTAAAAGAAAGATTGACAACCACACTTTGATAATGAATAAATAAAATGTGAAAAGCTTTTTCCTTACCCCATGATTTGAAAGGTGGAACATATTAATTGTATTAATTAATTGTATTAATTAATATGTATTAAAAGTAACGTGGCATGAAACCAACAGACTGTGGGCTGTATATATAGTGCACTGTGGATTTTTGTTTCCAACAAGCTGTGCAGAACCCATCCTGCAATCAATAACAGAAGTTTCTCCTCCATGAGCCAATGAGGGGTAAGAAGGAACTTGACTAAGGGAGAGAAAATTCAGGTTTTTGACTAAGGTTTCTTTGTAACTGTGCTTATTGTGTTTGTCATTCATATAAATCTAAATCTCCGGTGTATCTTTTAATTAACTCCCTGCTGCTACTAATTGTCCTTCCACCCTAAGATCCCTATGAACTCTTGGGGTTATGTAGATGAGAAATATTTGATGTCTAGAAAATAGAGATGCAAAATACTGGTCAGTGGAGTATTGATGCTATTTAATGCATTTCTTTTAAAAAATTACTTTTACACCAGGTTTTTAAATGTAGTTTCAGTGCTCACCCTATTGCAGTGCCCCCAGAACCCTGAGGTGTAGAACTGCATGATAATTGTTAACAAATCGGTCCAGAAATGGTACAAAAAGAGAAGTTAGTTTTCTCATTTCAATAAAAGTGTAGCATGAGGATAATTTAGGATTAGATGAGCTAATAGAAGTAAACAAATGTACATTTTCAGAGGTTTTTTTTTGTGAAATATTTAAGTGTCTCTGTGTGTAAAATGCAGCTTCTGTTCAGCTTTCATCCACTATGTTCTTGCAAAGAATGTCAGTGAACAAGCCTTTTCTGCTTCAAGAATAAGGACACCTGCAAATGAATAAAGGTTCTCAAGGGATGAAAAGTTCCTGGCTATTTTCTTTTCTGATCAAGGACTGTTTGAATAATAATTCATATTAAATATTTATTGAACATAAAGAACAAAAATCTTATATTGAGTGTAAAAATTTTCCCTCACCAAATGAAAATGTTTTTTGTTGCAGATTCTTCTGTAGTGTTCTGTGTATGTCTTTGTGTCTGCACCTAGTTTTAAAATCATACATTATAGTCCTGAAAGTCCATAGTAAATGAGCTAGACCTCAAAATTTGCCAATGTAGTCACCTAAGTGACTCCATTCAAAGGCTGTATGTTGTGGCCAAGAGATTACTTTCCCATTCTCTCTGCTCTTCCATTTGCTGTGGATTGTCCAAAATTGCTGGGCTTCTTGATACACGTCTTTATACTGAGGTGTTACTAAACAGCTAAGAAGGAATTGCTCCCCTCTTACTGTCTTTTCATTTTGGCATTTACAGATTGTTTCCAGGCTGATTTTTTTTGGTTTAACCATTTATTAGGTGTGTGACAATAAAATACTTAGAATGCAAAAAAACTTCTTTACAGAAACATCTGAAAATTACTAGAGGAATACACCCTCATCCTCAAAAGAAATGTAGCATTTTAGAATATATATATTTTTAGGAGTCTTTCTGAACTTCCTATACTCATGTAGATTACAGAACTGCTTTTGTGGATCTCTTGTAAGTACAAGCTAGACTCTGTCCCTGGTTACAACATCTAGAGCTGTGTTTCTCTGGCTGTGGTCCATGACACATTGATCACTGATCTGCAAAAAAAGGAATATTTTCATGTGTGCAAGACAGAAAAAAAGCAAATAAAGAGAAAATGAAGAATAGTGGTAATAAAAGGAAGCCAAAGTTCAGCTAGGCTGTTCTGTTTTCAATGAAAGCCAAGGTAGGAGCACTGCATAGTTTAAAAGGTAAAGTAAATACTTCATTTCAAATGCTGAGAATCCCTGGAGCAGACCATTCATTACAATGTCTCTCCACTTTGATTACTTTTCTAATCAGTATGCATCTCAGATGTAGATTTAGTATTGATCAGATGAAATGAGCAGTAAAAGATTAAAAAAACTAAATAATGTAAACCCAAGAACAACATTAAAAAAAAAGAAAAATGAAACAACTAGCTCAAAAGCTGCTGCTGCATTCTGCCTCTGGTCAGTTTCTCAGCTGCTGTACAGAAAATCCAATTCAAAGTTGTTTAAATATGTGGTTTGAACCTGATTTATTTGTAATCTATAAATATATATGTTCTTCTGCTTAGAGAATTTGCACTCTATACATCAAATTTGAAAAGGTTTGGATGTGGTTCCTTAACACCCCTCTCCTTTGTTCATTCCACTAGAACTGGAAAAAGCAGAAATTCAGCATTTTTGACTTACATATTGGAGCAACATATGATTTGATGCTTTCTTACAGATGAGGAATATTGCAGAGGAACAGTTATTTTACATATTAAATAGCTTTACTGTGTCAAATCAGGAAAGATTTGTGTGAAAGATCTGTTTCTAAAACATCTTTAAAGTCATCGGAATAAATCTCTCTTCATTCTATCTTTCATACCTTGAACCATTACATAGAGCAAGAACTAAGAAAGGTTTAGAAAGAGTACCTTAACAAAGACTGAGTTGAAATAAAAATGGAATCTAAGCAAAGAGGATCTTTAGAAGAGTAAACTTCTGAATGCCCTTCTTGCTCTTCTCTTTCCAACACCATATTCTCAGTCTTTAGAAAGCAAGCGGCTTTAAAAACGCAGAATGAAAACATATCTAAAAATCAGATTGCCACTTAGTCATTCCATAATATGAATTTTTCCTTCAGTTGTTCCCTATCCATATTTAAAAGTACCTAGGATGTAAGTAGTTTTAAAGAAAATAAAGCCACAGTCTGCTCCTTGTATAACTTTAATTTTAAAATTAAAAGAAGTGTAGTTCCCAGATTCTTCTCTGAAAGATCCTTGTATTTCCTTCAGTAATACTTGCTTGCTCTGGATTAAATAACAACAAATCATTTTGAAAACTATTTTTATGTCCTGAAAACCCATTTTCAGTTTGATAATTCTTATTTTCCATTTGTTGTAAGTATAAATCAAGCAAATCTATTCTAGAGATTTAACGGAACAGGAAATACATCAGGTTTTCACACAGTTTATTAATGGACATCAGTGCTTTCCAAGAGTTTAACTTCTTTTCTTTTTTTTCTTTTTTTTCTATTTCAGGTGAAGTTTGGATAGAATGTATGCATGAAAAGTTTTCATCCTCAAAGTGCAGGAACTATTTAAATATAATTGTTATATGCCGCTCATAAAGACACTTTTCATTTCTTGTCAAGCATACAAACCACTAGAAATAAGAACTCTCTCTTGAAAATGTCAGGAGGAAATAGATATTGTAAAATCACAATTTTACTTCTGAGGTAAGTTAAGGACAAATAGTGTCTCTGTAGCTGAAAGAGTCCTTCCTCAGTAATATATAAATCTCTGTAGGAATAATGGAAAAGAGTCCAAGATAGAAACAGTTTTTCCAAAAATATTCTTCAAACATCATTTTATTGCACCAAGTGAGAGACCATAAAGATGTTTTTTAGAAGTCTAGATGTTCTGCAACAGCTCTGAGAACAATAGACAAATCCCCCAGATTTCACCTTTAACAAGCAGCATTTTTTATCAAACAGGTTAACTCCAAGGAAGTTGCTGTGTCTAATATTAGTGAGTAGATCAAACTGAAACTCTTTTGAGGTAAAGGAATTTTTTAGAAATTGGTAAATGCTACACCAGAAATACATTATCTTAAAAAAATATAGAGGATGTTAGGTGTTAAAGGATGGAGAGAGAAAGCACAGTGAGAAGGCTGATACAAAAATAGTTTTATTAACACCATAAAGTAACAGAGAACTTTAAAAGTTCTGTGTCCTGTATTGCAAATGAATAAAACTGAAACCATCCCAAGCAAATATTAATTCTGGGCTGCTAAAAGAGCATACCACCAGCTGCACACACAGCATGGCTGAAGCACTAGAGCAACCAAAAGGTGTTGTCTTCAGCTGCCAGCACACAGGACAGCACAACCTATGCACCCCCATCTGGCTTCACTGTGACCAGTGTACAGAGTGCACAGCACTGAGCTCTGCTAGTCCTCTTATTCTCCCCATCACTACATTATATTTGTGAAAAAATTATTATATGGGTTATCCAATCCACCTTGCTCTACGCTGGGTACACAATTTTTATCAGAGTATCCAGCTATCTCTGCTCTTCTTATCATCTCTATCATGATCTACTGGGGTTTTATATTTTTTTACCATTTTCCCTATATTATTTTTTGAGGTAATTTTATTCATATATTGAAAGTTCTTGATAATACCTGTTCAGTATGTTACTCCTGCTAATTACTCCATCTCAGAAAACTTATCAATCCTTTACATTTCAAAAAGCACTCATCTAGAAATGATGAGAGAATAACATTTTATGTCCTCAAAACATAGACTCATAGATTAGGTTGGTTTGGAGGATATCTTAAATATTACCTAATTTCAACCCCCTGCCATGGGCAGGATGCCACCACTAGAGCAGATTCCTTGAAGCTCAATACCACAGCCTGGCCTTGAGCACTTCCAGGCATGGGGCTTTCTAATACCTGATAAAAATCTGACCTCTTTCAGTTTAAAGCCATTCTGCCTTTTCCTATCACTACATACCTGTTAAAAAGTCTCACTCCAGCTTCCTTGTAGGCCCTTCAGGTACTGGAAGACTGCTGAATTCCTTCACAAAGACATAAGGCAAAAATCTTTGCAATAATGCAAGCAGCAGAACTGATTACAGTAATATCAATTGAATGCAGTAATATTGAAAGAAACTTCAGGGTTTCGATATCGAATATCATTAGATAAACAGTTGGCTCTAGTCTTTCTCAGCATAATAGTAGAATGTAGAATATCAGTGTGTAATCTAACTTATCTGGTAACTTAAAGTGAAAATTTGAGAAGAAAGTAAAACTTTAGTAATTGTCCTCACTAAAAGTGACAGAAATATTTTTCGCTGCAGACATACATTTCCCCCAGTGTGCTGTCCTCTAACAACATACCTGCAATGTTCCACATGAATATCAGTGTGCATAAAAAGGCTCACCATAATTTATAGGCCTTTCATACACACACATATATATGCATAATTGTATATACAGCTTCCTGTAGTTTTCTGAATGGTTTCCAAACTGGAAAAGAAGAGATTTACAAAATCACAGCAGAAGCCTTTACTTAATTATTAGGTGTGCATGGATAACAATTTGGCTTTGCAGCCTAATCAGGGATAAAAGAGTACATAAAAATTGTGTTGTGTGATTTATTTTTCGTCAAACCTTCAGGTTGCCACCTTTGTTTGGTTAGTCAAACCTGCAGTTTACCATGATTGGTTGTCAATGTTTTCCTGTAGGCAGTAAGCTGGAAAAGAACTTTCTTAAAATAATCACTGGGAAAAATATATTTCTTGAAATGAAGAGCTTTCTGGGCACTGTGCATGTTACTATCTTTCTTATCTGGGAGTAAGAGCAGTCCTGATATTTCTGTTAGGTGGGTTACAAGACGTTTCAAATCAGTCCCTTTAAATTCCTTAAGCAAAAGAGTCTTCATTTGGAGAGAAATATCTGATATAAAGAGATTACTGTCCATTCTGTAACATAGTAGCTTCCAGGGGAGATTTTTCCCATGCAAAACTTAATTATGAAAGCAGGGCTGCTTCCTCATACATCTTTATACAAATATTGATATTTAAAAGAAAAAAATGAGCTCTGCTGTACCATCTTTAACAAACCCCATTTAACAGAATAGGAAATATGAGTACAGACACAACTTCCCTTTCTACTGTTTCTTAATTTTGGTCACATTTTTTTAGCTTCAAGACCAAATAACTGTTTAGTAGTTCTATCATCTCCTTTTTTAACTAAAGACTGGAAGAAACCTTTGAGACTGAGGGCTTTGCCTCATCACTGCCACATTAGGAAAATGCTTCAGTACCATGAAGACCTATGCAATCAGTATGAAAGGAAAACAAAAATTAAATATCAGCTCTTCTGTCTTGAAAATAATCCTTCTACAAATAGGACTATATTAACAGTGGGTTTTCATTTTTAATTCAGACATTATTTTAAATAAAATATCTATTTGAAATATACTTCTCCTTCTCAGTTTAATGCAGCTGTCACTTTAGTTTGCAAAGTGTGTTAGAATGCACAGGAAAAGCAAAATCCAAAGATACTGGAAAATCTTCCTTAGGTATAAGAGACAGAAAGCATCAACAGGCATAAAATGTATAGCTAAAGTGATTAGTGAGTCGTTGGGGATTTTATTCCATGAATTTTAATACATAAGAGTCATAGAGACAACAGGTAATCTGTGGTTTTCAGGAATACATTCATCAGTGTAAATCCCTATCTTTCTTTCTCTAAGTAGCCAGGTATATAATTGTTGTGTGGGATGCTGTGATAGATTATTTGCTACTACACACTTACCATCTGACTCAAATATTGCCCTTCCTGGAGTGGCCGTGTGTCTCATAAAATTCATATGTAACTCCAAAAAGTTCCTCACAGCCACCAAGCCTAGTCAGATTTTACTAATTCATTTAAAGAAAGTTATGGCTGGAACTCTGAATTCTCATCTCATAATGGGATTTCAATGCCTAAATATCTGGTTGACCGTAGTCAAAGCACACAAAGGAGAACGCAAAGATCATTTTAATGTTTGTATTATTCCATCTGATTCTTACGCATTATTTGATTCTAGACCCAGCATGCACACTGCCCATGCCTTATTTTATCATATGTAAATGCAAGTCATCTCTTTTCACTGTGACTTTGGAAACAGCCTTCTAAAATGGAACAAGTACATTGAGGGTCATTTTGTAATCAATTCGATAGATTATGTGATGTGGCTCAGTGTACCCATTAAAAATGAGATTCAAACTAATTATGGTACAAATAGGCATCTGCTTTTTTATGTTACATTTTTATACAGCTTATTTGGATTTTTTTTTTCTTTTGTTTTGTTTTATAAAAAAGTGTTTTAAAAACTAGGATGAAAAATAGACTAATTATATGCACTGGGATCCTTTTAAAGGGATACCATAGATTCAAACTATGACAAAGTTATTGCTCAAATACAGCATTTATAGTGATTGAAGTGAACATTTCATGTTTGATGAAAGTGCTTTTTATTAGTTTGAAATCCTCCATGAAGTTCTGATGGCATACAAGTATGATGCTTTTCCTATTGAACAACTTTATAGATTCCCAGCAGTCCTCATACTTTTATGACCTTTAATTTCTTATTTAACAGGTGCTACCCTTTAACTACTACTAAACTACTTATGTCGTCAGTAATTCCACTATTCCTTTTATCAAAGCCCAAATCCAATAGGAAAGAGCAAATACTTTTAACCAGGTTTTTTTCTGATCCTATAAAATTGTGGGCCACAAAAATGGCCAGGGGGATAGAGCATTTTTCCTATTAAGATAGGCCAAGGGAGCTAGAGTTTTTCAGCATGGAGAGGAGAAGACTCTGGGGAGCCTCACTGCAGCTTTTCAGTTCTTAAAGGGCACTTACAAAAGAGAGGAGGCAGATAATGAGAGGGGTTTTAAACTAAAAGAGGAGAAATTTGGATTAGATTCTAGGAAGAAATTCTTTACTCAGGAGGTGATGAGAGACTGGAGAAGTTGCCCAGAGAAGTCAGTGCCCTGTCCCTGATAGTGTTTAAGGCCAGGTTGGATGGGGCCCTGGGACCAGTTCTAGTGGGTGACATCCCTGCCTCTGGAACTTACTGGCTTTTAAGGTCCTTTCCAACCCCCACTGTTCCATGATTCCACATACATATGTATCACAGATAGTATCTGATTTGCAAGAAACTTCAAGGAAGTCAATGATAAAAAACAATGGGTAAAATTTTTTACTTCTTTTAAATGTAGATTTTTGAAAATTCCTTTTAGACTAATATTTTCTCCTTTATATATATATCCATTTTAATCAGCAACCCATGATAAAGATCTAAAGAATAGATATGCAGAGCATATTTTTCTCTATTTTAATATCCTCTGCTATTTAAAAGGTATTACTGACAAATTACAGTTTCTTATACTAAAGGAATGATCCTTAAGTGTAAATATTACTAAATTACCCTTCTCAACAGTTTTATTTTCCAAAGTATCTTGTAACTTCTGCAGCATCTATTTTTCAGATAGTATGACCATATTTGAATATATTATTCAGTTAGTTTTGATCTTCTGTTCCTGAGGAATACATGCTTAGCCCATAACCTTTCAGTTTTCAAACAAAATTTGAGACTCTTTTATCAAGATTCTGTTTTAAATTAACATTTTTCTCATCCTTCAATAGTTGGTTTACTAAAAATATGCATTTTAATATCAACAGATCTGATTCTAAGATCTGCTTGCTTCACCTTTAAAGACCACTTCCCAAGTTCTTTTCTACAGTTTTTGGGTATGGACTAATATAAAAAAAACCAAGCCTTTCTCATTTTTAGTTTCTGTGATAGTCTGATCATTATTCAGATTATGTTTAAACCAGCTTGAAATCTTATTTTTAACAGCTATTGAAGCTGAAGTACACACTCAAAATGATCATGATTTGCTTGGAGTTGTGGTCCACAGAAGAGCTGGGAGTAATTCAAAGGCTTTCTCATTTCTGGGTTTTTGCTTAAGCCATCACTGGCTGACTGCAATAGAGGGTAGAAAATACAACCTATTACTGTCTTAGTGCAATTTTCTGAGAATTTCATTTAAACAGCAGTAATGTCAAGCACAATGACCTATTCAATTTCTTTAAATGTTTCTTATTCCCACCTACTTGCTGGCTAAGTCTGGTGATGAGACATTGCTAA